ACGGCGTGTCATTCGCTACGGACTCACAGAACTCCAACCGAAACAACAACAACAATAACCGACGCAATCGTCGCAACAATAACAACAATAACAATAACGGCACTGCAACTGACGCCAACACGAACGTCACGGATGGATCAACGATCGGAACCGAGACAGACGAAGTCCAATTCCTTCTCGAAGCAATTGAATTTGGTGAGTCAACACAACACGCATACTGCTTCAAAGTGTCTGCTCGTATCCAATCTGTTCACGATACGGAAGGAATTCCTATCACTTGGATACTCCTGGACAACCAGTCGACGGTCGATGTGTTTACTAATCCACACCTTCTTGAAAATATTCATCAGGTCGAGGAGACACTGAGGATCCACACGCAGGCTGGTAGTACAACTACAAGGACGAAGGGATATCTGAAAGGGTATGGCCTAGTATGGTTCTACGAGGGAGGCATTGCCAACATCCTATCCTTGGCCAGAGTCCGCAAACAACACCGAGTCACATATGACAGTGAAGATGGCAACACGTTCGTGGTACACAAAAGCAATGGGAACAGGGTCTTTCAACAATCGCCCAAAGGACTGTTCTACACCGATATGGGGAGCAACAAAGCTGAGACGGTGCTCGTCAATACGGTAGCTGAAAATAAGTCTAAATACACCAATGCTGACTTTCAGAGAGCCGTTGTCGCACGTAGAATCCAGAAAACAATAGGACGTCCCAGCCTCAAAACGTTTTTAGACATCCTAGACAACAACAAGCTAACGAACTGTCCTATTGGAAGGGAAGATGCGGTGGCAGCCGAACACATCTTTGGACCGGATCTGGGATCGCTGAAAGGAAAGACTGTCCGAAAGTCTCCTGAAGCCGTGGCCAAAACGCCACTGACTCCCATTCCCATTCAAATCATGCAACGATATCAATCGGTGACCCTTAGCGGGGACATCATGAAGGTCAACCGAATCCCCTTCATGGTCACAATCAACAGCGCGATTAAGTTCGGCACAACTGAGGTTCTCAAGAACCAGAAGGCTACAACAATTATGGTGGCCATCAACAACGTTAACGACGTGTACAAAGGACGTGGGTTCACTGTCCGGTCTATACACATGGACGGCGAGTTTGAGCCACTCAGAGGCAACCTCGCGTCAATCGGCATCACTCTGAACACTGCATCAAGAGATGAGCATGTGCCTGAAGCGGAACGAAGAATTCGCACCGTGAAAGAGCGAGTGAGAGCCACGTGCAACACCCTACCATTCACCAAGCTGCCAGGACAGATGGTGACGCAGATGGTGTACCACAGCAACTTTTGGCTCAACGTATTCCCACCAACTCCAGGAGTGTCAGGCACAATCAGCCCACGAGAACTTGTCACGGGCCAACGAATCGACTACAATAAGCACTGTAAGCTCGAGTATGGCACGTACGCGCAAGTACACGAACAACATGACAACTCCATGGCGACTCGCACAACCGGTGCCATTACCATGCGACCGACAGGTAACGCCCAAGGTGGATACTGGTTCTACAGTCTGCAGACTGGTAGGATCCTGAACAGGAACAACTGGACGGTGCTACCCATGCCGAGCGAAGTAATCAACCGAGTACATCATCTCGCACGATTAAGCAAGAATGGAATCACTTTCACTGACCGCAACAATCAGGAGATCGTGGACGAGGACGAGGAGTACACAAGCGACGACGACCAATCTACTCACGAAGAGGACGATGAACTGGACCCCGACGTCACAGGAGTGGACGATGAAGAACTACGTGATCTGAAGCAACAGTCACGGGACGGGAACTTCAATCCTCCAGAACCCAGAACTCTAGACACCAACAGACGTATCCAGGATAACGTCGCGGAACAGGATGACGACGGTCAGGACAACGACCAGCAACAGGAAGCTGCAGAAGACGACACTGATGACGATGACGACGATGACAATGACGACGATCAGAATGATCAGGACATCGATCAACAGGACGCCAATCAACAACCAGCCAACGAGACACTTTCCAGGGAGATGCGTAGAATCGAGATCGACAGCGCCAACCCAGCAATTATCAATGCACGGACTAGAGGTCAAGCAAGAGCTGAACAGATGCACTGCGTGACGCACGAACACGTATACCTAATCACGGCAATGCGTCACGTAAAGGCAGAACAGAAAGCTCAAGTAGCTAAGGACATCGCCCGTACTCCCAACTCGCTAACGTTTCAGACACCACAAATGGGAATGAAGAAAGGTCTGCGAATGTTTGGAAAGGCCGGTCTGGAAGCAGTTCATAAAGAAATGAAACAGCTCCACGATCGAGCGGTCATGAAGCCAGTCAGGCCAGAGACACTCGACAGAGAACAAAAGAGAAAAGTCCTCAAGTATCTTATGTTCCTCAAGCAAAAGAGATGTGGGAAGATCAAAGGACGTGGATGTGCCGATGGCCGCAAGCAACGGCTGTACACCGCGAAAGAAGACGCAAGTTCCCCTACTGTGTCAATTGAGGCAGTCCTACTAACGAGCATTGTGGACGCCAAAGAGAAGCGACATGTAGCTACGGTTGATATACCCGGAGCCTTCATGCAAGCTGATAACGACGAACTCATCCACATGAAGCTTGAGGGGGAAATGGCCGAAATGCTAATCCTGATAGACCCAAAGCTCTATCGGAAGTACATCATACTGGAGAAGGGCAAACCGGTGCTCTATGTCGAACTATTGAAGGCCCTATATGGGACTCTCAAGGCAGCTCTACTGTTCTGGAAGAAGCTGTCGAAACAACTAACCGATTGGGGATTCGAAATCAATCCCTATGACAGGTGCGTGGCCAACAAGATGGTCAACGGCAAGCAGTGTACCATCGCATGGCACGTGGATGACCTGAAGATATCACACGTAGACATGAGCACGGTCGAAGGAGTGATCGCAGATTTACAAAAGGTGTTCGGAAAGGAGGCACCACTAACAATCAACCGTGGAAAGGTCCACAACTATCTAGGCATGACACTGGACTACACCGAGGATGGATATGTCAAGATCGATATGAGAAACTACGTCGAGGAGATCCTGTCCGAGGTTCCATCGGATATGGAGGGTGACAGTGTCACACCAGCAGCGGCACACTTGTTTCAGGTCAACACGACCAATTCAGTGAAGCTCGCAGAGCACGATGCGCAAATGTACCATCACATCGTTGCGAAGAGCCTGTTCCTATCGAAAAGAGGGAGACCTGACATACAAACGGCTGTGGCATTCCTCTCCACTCGCGTTAAGAGTCCAGACGAAGACGACTACAAGAAACTGTGTCGAATGATACGGTACCTGAGGGCAACCAAGCATTTGGTCCACAGATTGAGTGCCGACAATACACAGATATTGAAATGGTGGGTCGATGGTTCCTATGCCGTCCACCCAGACATGAAAAGCCACACAGGCGGTGCCCTAAGCATGGGTACAGGAGTGCCAATTGGCACCTCAACACGACAAAAGTTGAACACTCGAAGTTCCACCGAGGCTGAGCTTGTGGCTGTCGACGACATGATGCCACAGATCCTATGGACTCGCAGGTTCCTGGAAGGACAGGGATATGACGTATCCGACAACGTCCTCTACCAGGACAATCAAAGTGCAATGCTGCTTGAAAAGAATGCCAAGGCATCCAGCGGTAAGCGCACGAAACATATTGACATTCGGTACTTCTTTGTTACCGACAGGGTCAATTGTGGTGACATCTCCATCGAGTATTGTCCCACTGCCAAGATGATGGCAGACTTTTTCACCAAGCCTCTACAGGGAAGCTTGTTCATCAAGATGAGAGACTTCATTCTAGGAGCTCCATCTACCGATGATGGTTAATCACAGATGCAAGTATCGTACCGGTACAGCATCTGGATCAAAGGAGTGTGTTGGATTGGGTTATGGGATCCTCTGAATGAAGGACAGACCATTCTAGTTCTACCAATCACAAGTGGTAGAAATAATCATAATCTTTAAAAACTCTGGTTTTGTATGCAATTCAACCTTCCTAGTAAGCTTAGTATCTATCTAGTTGCCTTATAGGTACTTGGGATGCTACAGCAAGCTTGTGAATTCAACAACGGCACGGATTTGATGGATCTGATCGATTCGATTCGATTCGATTCGATTCATTCAACGAACTTGTGCGGACGTGCGATCTCACCATCGGCTTTACCGGTATGAGTGTATGAGTCCCTCATCGGTACCTTGCAGACAAACCCAGCGTGAATGATCCGAATTGGGTTCCCTCGACGAGTAGACTACTGTTGTTGCTGCCGTCCTCCAGTGTCCCGAATGGTTTGCGGGCATTGATCTATTCGTGGCGATGCAATGATGACTTAGAGAGACAACGAGTGCATCTCAATTCAGTCGAGGTGGCATCACTGGTATCATAAGTGATGGAGTTGAGCATACTGAGCATGCAGCCCCAAGCCTAATAAACCTCCCAGATTGCGATAGGTTGCCAGTAGTTTTTACACGTTTACACTGGTATTCACAAGCCAGAAAATCAGAAAATCCTCCTTTAGACAACTTGCCAGGTGGCAGCCTGCAGGTTGCTGATGAGTTGATGAGTTGGCCCTCGGTTTCTTGCAGCGCTTTGACCTCGCCTACCGGTACCGTCCCACCGGTACACACCATTATTTCGTCAATTTCCGCCTTTGGGAATTGTGAAGGATGTACCGACGTACTGTACCAGTAAACGGCAACGGGCAGTGCCCAGCCCAATAATCCCCAGCCATTTTCTATTTATGGTTGAAAGGCACAATTCCAAGACTTACGAAGGCGGCTTTTATCATCTGTGTCTTTGAATTTATCAGTGGCTTGTAAGCTTCAATTATTGACTATGCTCGAGAATGGGACTAGCAGTAGATTTTACAGACATATTGACCTGAGTCATGGGCTCATCTTAAATCCAGTCCAAGACTCCTGTGACTGTTTGTTGTGGATTTTAGGAGCAAATCTTAGAAGGTACAATTCCCCACCATCCGAATGCGAAAGCGGGCATCCGAATAGGAAAAAGCTGGCAAACCAACGAAATGTGATGGGATCAAAAGTGGCAACGGGAGCGGCTTGGCCAATACCGCCCTGCTTCTGCTACATGCGATGTGGCTTTGTGTAGCTTTGTGTCTTGCAGAGGCGTCCCAAGCAAGCATCCATCATTCATCTCTCGCATAAAATCTAATCCAACGCATCAGCAACACAGCAAATAAATTAATAATCAAGATGGCACCCCCAACCACACGAGGAAGGCACCTGCTAACGAGCGTCTACAACTCGCTCTCAACAAGCAACCTGCTCGGTAGCTCCTCTCATCATGTCTCCAAGCGCGATGATGACACCATGAAGAATGATGACGATACATTTGCGGATGACTGCAGCATGGACGTTTCACCACCAGCAAGCGTCGAATTCAGCAGCAACGTTGTTCCATTGACCATCTCCAAGGGCAGCAACCACGGATCTGTCGTGGACGAAGACCTTGACGACGATGAGGATCACGATGACATGTCTGCCACCCAACGCGGAACCAACGCGAGACTCTCCTCCGAGATTGACGATGCCCAGCCTGCACTAAGATCCAGCATGTTGGGTCTCTTGGGGCGACTGTCTGTGCGCAACATGAACGACGCAACAACAGCCCCCATGGTCGATCAGAGCGAACCCGTCCAACCCACCTGGCTCAAATCGCAGCTAGTAGCAGCGATGGACGATACTCCTGACCACCACCGACGAAAGAGTGACATGATCGATGGTTCTTGTCACAGCACTTCCTGGGCTCCCAGCAATGTGAACCGACGAACGGGTTTTGGCGGATGGGGTCGCAGCAACACCATGAGTCCCAAGCGACCCTCCCGTGTCCGCAAGCTCCCACCTCGCAATCCCACATCGAGTACGGTGGCATCTCAGCGCAGTGAACTTTCCTGGGAAGAGGAACGGGAGGAATTGCAGGAAAAGGTCGAAGCTTTGGAAGCGAAGCTCAACTCCAAAAAGGCCGCCTTGCAGAGCCTCATGATTGAAAAGGCCAGCCGCGGTTCCGTTGTGGCAACTGCACCTGCTGTCGAAAGTCACGATCAAATGATGAAGCAGCTGATAGTCAAGGACGAAGAGATTGCCAAGCTCGAAGAGACTGTCAAGGCACAAGCCATTCGTATTGAAGACATGGAAGCAGATCAAGACCAAAAGGCACAATCACAAGCTCAACTCATTCTCGACGAGTGGCAAGAAGACGAGGAAGACGAGTCCTTGCTGGAACAACTGCAAGAACAAAACCATACCATTGCGCGGTTGGAGGCTGAAAAGGAGTGCCAGCAACTGGAACATCAACGACGCGAAAGAGAGTTGATGGATTTGGTGCGAAAGCTACAAGGAGAAAAGGCACAGTGGCAGGGGGAAGCATCCGCATAGAGAATGTCAAAACGAAAAAGATGCAACATTCCATTGAACTCATAACAACGGATTACCAATAATGCAAACAATAGAGAAATTTTATGCAACTAATAATATCCTTCAGTGTCTTACCACTTCGACAGCTCGCTAGCAAGATCGGTTGGACAAGAACGAGACCCGACAAACTGATCCTTCCATGGTGCGTACTGTTTTATCGTTGTTGTCGATGAAGATATCGGATGGCGATCTCCTCCGTCGTGACTGACTCCACTTGATGAGTTAGCTAGTCTAGCTAGCTAGCTAGGTACAATAATACTTCTGCAGTTTTAAATTGAAGGGATACACTGCATATCGAGTGGTGTAGTCCGGTCGGGAGAAGCAGTCGTGAAGCACAGCTCTCCCGTGATGCTTCGGGAGGCCTGCAGAATATTCCAGGGAGAGAGAACAACACAAGGGCGTGCAATGGATTTAGCTACGTTTCAGTACATCGGTCGTCGAGGACTGCTTTCGCCTTAACCGAGCCCATTGGGCTGGCTGTCAACTACTTGATTGATGTTGGGCCTTTTGGGTGCTTGGGTAGTTTGAAAATAGCCGGAGGTGCTCGATACCACTACAATGTCATGTACTATTAGACTAGTAGCTTGGGGACAGGGGGTAGAGAGCACTACATACAGCCTGCGCATATGAACAGGGAGGATGCCCGCAGATTGATTTTTTTGGCCTGGATTCAAAAACGTCCAATTTCCTGTGCAATCGAACAGGATAGTGACGCCTGTTCATATGTACAGGAGGCTGTACATACCAGGAGCTCGACGTCCTGTTCAAATGCACAGGAATTGTGACGTTTTTTTCTGGGTAGGCTTTTACAGTAACACATAGATCTGCCATTACGTTCAGCATTACAGTCAAGCATGTCCTCTGCAAAGAATAGATGGTTGCAACTTCCTGTGTTTTCCTCTTCTCAGATAATGAAAAAGAAATCAGGAGAAATGAAGTCCAAATCTCTCAGTGACAAACCCAAAGCCACAAGCCACAAATGAATGCAAGAGCCAGATATTTTCTGTGGTAGTAGTGGTGGTAGTAGTAGTGAAAGGATCAGTTGTTCTTGTTCTTATGCTTAAGCTCCTGTGCAATTGTACAGGATTGACGCATCCTGTTCAATTGCACAGGAATTGCGTCAATCCTGTACAATTGCACAGGAATCGCGTCCGTCCTGTACAATTGCACAGGAATCACGTCGCCTGTTCAATTGCACAGGAATCGCGTCGCCTGTCAGGCCAAAATTTGACTGCAGGCTGGCTCTCTAAAAATCCTGTTCATATGCACAGGCTGTATGTAGTGCTCTCTAACCCCTGTCCTGAGGCCACACTGTGGATAGACTCGACTCGACTGAGTCGAGTCACTCGGCCGAATGTTCCCACAAACCGGGGTCAGAACCCCCCACAAATCGACGTTCCAGGAGCAGCAGTGGCACAGATCCCATTGCAACCCACCGGTACGGGATAGCCTACAGCGTAAAATGCAATTGGCAGCTAGACTACTAGACTTGTACTATTTATTTTAAAATAGCTGGACCGTCCGACGGTTTTCACTCAGGCTTTAAAAACGGGCACGACTGACTCATAATCCTGGTTCTCATAAGGGGTTGTTTAAGGGGATGTTGAAGCTTTAAGGGGTTGTTTAAGGGGATGTTGAATATTTAAGGGGTTGTTGTTAAGGGGTTGTTTATTTAAGGGGATGTTCATTCTTGATAAGGGGTTGTTGTATGGCGTTTCAATGAAGGCTTAAGGGGTTGTTTCGAGGAAATAGGGGGATGTTGTTAAGGGGTTGTTTATTTAAGGGGTTGCTTAAGGGGATGTTGAAGCTTTAAGGGGTTATTTAAGGGGTTGTTTAAAAGATGTTGTCAGTCGTGGCATTTTGAAGATTTTTAAATCCTGAGTGAAAAGCGTGGGACGGTCCTGGCTACTCGAGTACCGTACTCGTGAACCCAGACAGCCGGTACCACCGGTACGAACGTACGCACGCACACATAACGGCAGCACTATTCCCCTTAATTAAGTAGTCTTGGTTGCCTCCATACCAGAAGCCTTTCTGAACATGTGCGACATGCTGAGTCGCAGGCCATAATCATCAGAAGATGCCGCTTGAGCTTCTCTTGGGGTGGCAGAGAAAATGAGCCAAACGCTTCTACCTTGAAGATAAGTTATCCTGATGTTCGAATCTCACCCACCGCACCAGGAGAGATCATGTTCTCAAAACTATCTACTAGTCTACTATGTGCTACAGTAATGGGTTTGATCTTCTAAAGAGGTTGAGTGCAATCAAGTATTCATTTTTCCAACTACACCGTAGTACTCAAGTACTAGCTAGCTAGACAGTGGCAGATATCATAATATTGTTCCACCGGTATCCCTACAGTACCGGTACTACCAGGAGGCTTGGGGACATTATGCTAGCCAGATGTCTTTGCCTGCCTGAAATTTTCCAAGGTGTATACTTACTTCATTATTAATTGAGTGGAAATGATCACCTTTAGAATGCTTCTATTAGCTAGCTGGCTACCTGGTACTAGAATGATTCAATCATCTCTGATGAGGTACATGTATCCTAATACCGGTATGGTACTTGCATCTTTTAGCACCTGGAATGAAAATGATTATTGTTATCTTAAATAAAAGGCTGAATCATCACCCTTGAATTGTTGCAAAAGAGATTTAGAGTCGCGTACTCGTAGGTGAACGCTAGTTCCCTCCAGTCGCAGTAGATAGATATTACTCTCCTTTCCTGCACAGAACAGCTAAGAACCGACTGCTGACGAGCCATTGACACTACACATTATGTAAGTGAGGCTACTTGTATTCGGATGTTCATGAAAAGGCCTTCGGAGAATTCATTACAGTTCGATGTCTTCGCCCACATGCACGACTTCTAAGTATTGTATTGACTTGGTTTGTTGTTGATAGCCGAACTTCCAGAGATGAGTTGAGTTTGTCTCATCTACCTATCTTTGTACCTAGTGATAAGTACCTCCCTTCCTCAGCTGTTATTTTTATCCCAGAATGACCCACTAAATTGTCTATTATTTAGTGTTCCACTGAGCAAATTGACAGTTCTCATCAAACAACGCCGGAGGTTCGGGCAAAACTAGAGATGGGCCTGAGGCGGCGAAACTGACTGGGTTTGTGAGGTGTGAGCTGTTTGTGCCACGCTTCCAGGAATTGCGCTAATGCCGGTCCGTTTGCACGGCGGTAATGGATTCACTAATCACAGCAGAAGCAAAAGCAAAAGCCTCCTGAATACAGTTACTGGTCTATTCCTGTAATCAACTACTCTCGTGTTACTTTCCGTTTCTGTTGCGTCGCATAATCCTTCGTAAGAGATCACAATGAACCCACACCAGCAACCGACCCTGGAACTAGGCGACAGCGATGTGCCTTCTGCAGCTCCTGTTCAGCGACTCGACGTATCGGTAGCAGCTCCTCAGCAATTATCACGTGCACAAGCTCTTCTGATACCACCCAGCCGACAACACGAACTCCTTAGCGCCGTGCTGTCTGTTGGTAGACCTGTAGGAGCTGAGGAGGCTAAGAGCCCGACTGGCAGCAGACCGAACAGTCCTCCTCAGGATAGACGGAATCCTCCTCAGTTAAAGAAAGCCCTCTCTTCCTGGAATGCTGCGAGACAATCTCAGTCTGCAGAGCTCTCCACCGCTGCCAAGAAGCCTCCCATGGGTGGGACATGTAATATCAATACCGGTAGAGCCAAACCAAGCTCCCCTGGGAGGGCTCTTAGCTTTGTTATGCAAAGGGCGCAAGAAGTGCAAAGACAAGCACTTCGAACAAATCCTAAGGCGAACGCGACAGTGGATGCTAGCGTCGTGCAAGCGCTGCGAAGGAACATGAGGGAGGAACTGTAGGTGGTTTTGTGCGTCGCATCCTGAGCTCACCCAACTGATCGAATAGTTCTTCTAACAGTTTCCTTTCTCTTATCCTCTACAGTCTCAAACGATTGACTAAATCCAAGTTAGGCTCCGGCAACTCCAACATGGCAAAGCAATCCCCAGAAGTCCAGGCCGCGTTTGCCAGACGACTAGAAGAAGTTCTGTTCAAGACGTCCAAGTCAGTTGAGGCATATGCGGATTCCACCACGCTGGATCGTCGTCTGAAGATGCTTCTCGCTGCCATGCAAAATCGCAAGGCCAAAAAGGAGGGCGGGACCGGGACCCTGCCAGCTGCTGCTGCACCTCAACCACAGAAGAAAGCGGCCCTCAAGCCAGGTGAAATGAAGAGACGGGAAGCTCTACGAAAAACCCTGGGACAAGTCAAGATGAACCGCGTTTTCAAGGTTATGGCGGAAATTAAACTAATCCAATTGGGACGGGAAGTGACAGAGGGGAAACCTTATGAGCCAATCCCCATGTGCACAAAGGGCGGCTGCTCGTTTTCGGTACCGTGCCCGGGAGACCAAAAGGCCCCCAAGGTCGTCCGAGACCTATTCTTCAACACAGCTATCATCGCTGCCTACGAGAAATCCTCAGTGGCACTTTTCCCCAGCCTGCCTTGGGATGCACTCTTGGCACAAGGGGAAGCAAGGTTGGCTGCGTACCACGAATGGTACAGGCAACGGCAGGCTGCAAAAAATAGCCGGGGCTTTGCGTCAATGCCATAATGGGCTTTCATCCTTCCTTGTCCTAGCTTCCAAGCGCCTCGGGTAGCTGGTTACAAAGTAGACTTTAAATCTTCTCTAGCTAGCCAGTCGAGTAGTCAGGGCGGGCGTAGCAATTACCCAGCTAGCTAGCTACCAGGTACATCGTACCGGTAGAATCGAATTAGACCCCTCCATCTCGGATCTCGGGTGATATCATGATGGCCAGCCAGGGCCTCTAGTAGAGCTAGAAGATGGTTGCCCGAGGACTTCGGACAAACCCCATGGCCTAGAGAGCTTTTTGGGCTCGGGCTCCCAGCCTCTACATGTACGAACTGGCCAGCACGCTTGTTGTATTCTGCTTCAAGTGGTTTGAGAAGAGGAGAACGCACCTTCGTTCCGGAGTGACTGTGTCTGCCACTATCGCTCGGGTTCACTCTTCACCCTTTTACGGTGGAAACGTGGAAACTAGACTAGTCCACCCTGACTGACTCGACTCGATCGTAGGTCCAACCGTGAGCCGAAACCTCGGCAAGCCGGCGCAAAGCGTGGAAGATAAGATTTCTGTTACGAGGCCTCATCCAGTTGAGGTCAACACTGCAGCAAGACAGCCGGGGAACGTGAAATCGAGTCGAGTCGAGTCGAGTCGAGGTCCCACTTCCCTTCCCTACCGCTACAGCGCCGGACATGGGGAACCCAACAACCACGAGGGCAGCCCTAACCAGTACATACTGAGCACGGGGAACGTAACAACCAGGGTAAACCCAGACCTCCCATCACTTCGAGTTGATCAATCTGAAGGACTGTGGATAATACGGTTTGCTAGAAGGGCAACAGCGACCACGCAATAGTATCAATTTGTTTACACATTAATTTAGTTACTTCATACGCATTAGCAACGACAAGAATAGTGGCCCGAAATGAGTCCACAACAACAAAACTAACTTTTTTGGGTTTCCTAAAATAGCACGCGGTCTCTCAAAGCTTTTCGCGGTGAGGGCAAATACAGCAAGTCAAACAAGTACGGGTAGCGTGCGAGCGCAGTCACTTTACTGATTCAATTTCAAAACGTTGCCTTGTCTGCAGATGCATGTGTTGAATCGAGTTGGTGAGATGATTGAAAAATGCAAACACAAGATATTTTCAAGGATAGTGCAACTTACTCGTCCACGGGCTTGCCGTCGTAGCGTGTCTTAGCAAAGGCAGCCTTCGCTCGAAGACTTTCGTCCTGTGCATGATAAATGGTGCGGAGTAGTGTTGAACTGCATGCCTCTGTGCGCGGCACAAAATGAACAGGCATGGCACTCTCCACCCAGTCGCGGCCTGGGAACTTAAGCATGTCGTCCCCTCTTGCGTAGCAGCATCCTCCTGATGCAATGTCTTGATCAGATACCATGCTCTTGATGTACGTGAGAGGGTCGGTCGAAGGGATGACATAGATCTGGTCCACGTAGGGCTTCACATTGTTCATTCGAGTCTCCAGTTTGTCGATTGTGGGCTTGTTCTTGAGCTTGATGTAGCTCTCGTCGTCGTGGATACCAGCAACGATGTAGCAACCAAATTCTCGGAGCGACAAGAGCACATTTTGGTGGCCTCTGTGGAACAGATCAAAGCATCCAATGGTGTACACCTTACGATTCTCCCATCCATTTGGGAGGCTGGGCTTGAGACTGTTAACTTCCTCCACCATGAAAGCAACTTCATCCTTGAGCTCACGAAGGACGTCGCCTTCCAAGAAAGAGTGTGTCTCTGCCAGTTTCGCCAAGCGCTCCTCGCGGATGGAGGTGCGGCACTTCTTGTCGAACTTCTTCAAAATCTTGGAGAACGCAGTCTTGTTGAGCTCCAAAAATTCCAGTAGAAGTGCCAGTTCACGGTGGAATGTCGTCAAGGATTTCTTGGCGTAAATGTACTTGTGGAAATGCTTGGACTCTCCCATTTTTCGGTAGGAATCCTTAAGCCCTTCGTTGCTTCCAACAAGTTGGGTGATGGTTGTTTCAAGGTTCAAAATGGTAGGCTCCGATGCTGGGGTAGCTGGCTCGTCTTCCAAGGAATTATCCGATAGAGAATTATTGGAGCTCGCGGGCGAAGAGGGCAAACCGCCCGGTTGAGTGGGAGAGAGGAGGCTCTCTGGCGAAGCCGCCACTTCTCGTAGGGCAGTCACACGGTCCTCAAGAGTCTTCATGTAGTCAAAGGCCCAGCGTTCCTTCTCTTGGTAGAACTTGGTCAGCTTTTGTTCCGAGTCGTCCAGAATGCGGAAAAACTCGGCTCTGTCGACACAAGTGGTGGACAGCTGAACGTCACTGTTAGAATCGTTTTCACCGAGAGCCCTCTTGAGGGCCTCGTAGTCCACAGTATAGAAACGCCATTCCTTCAAAGTGCGATCGCAGAGAGTTTTTCCAAACTTCATCTTGTTGTTGCTTGTAGAGGAACTGTTTGTTTGGAAATGAAGGCGTTTGTTGTTTGCTTGTCGACCTATTGAAACACGGGCGCCGAGCCGAAGAAGAAAAAATGTGAGCGATGACATCACGGCTCAGTCTTGGTGGGAGTGGGGTGGGAGTTGTTAATTCTCTACTGCGAAAACCCAAAGCACTTCCGCCAAAACTACGAAGGCAACGCAAGCACAAAACAAGGCACCCCAAGCAAAAACAACAAAACAGCACCAGTAACCAAGCCACAAGATTCCTTTCCGATAGAAGTAGGGGCCGAGCTGTGACCAGAAATAAGGTATCAACAGAAACGGGGTGGCAGGTCCAACTTGAAGAAGGAAACTCCAAAGCTCAGGCAGCACAAAGAACCAGAAAACCCCATGCATCCAGAAATGGTGAATTCTTTGATAGCATGCAACCGATACCCGACCTTAGTAGAAAGGTGGGCAGTAACAGGAGCCAGCATGGAAAGGTATCGAAACAAGAGTGCAAAGCAGCACGACTTGCAGCAATATCCTACCTGTAGAGACTCAGCATTACTCTGGCTGAAGCCTCGCTGTGTTGCGGTTCTTTCTTCATTGGTGTGTTTCTGTTTGATGTCTCGTGCCCAAGAGCTTCAAAGGGCTCATTCCCGGCCTCGCCAAGTTGTCCCAACCTCGGACAAGTTTGTAGTGCAAGAATGGAAGAAGGGAAATTGAAATTCAGCCACAGCTCTTCCTGTTTTACCGGTAGATCTCCCTCCACTGTTATCCTTGCACCCTTAGCCCTTCTTTTCCAACACAGCAACCTCAAACAAGGCCAACATTCAACCACACAGCCCTTCCGCCATTTTCAACAACAAAAGAATTCTTTTACTCACCTTCTCGAAAAATATGGACAGACTGAGTTGAGTGAAATGCCAACTCACTGCCTTGGCATTGCTTTTGGATTCGAAAGGAATCTTCCTGGTAGTCAAATTGCGTACAATGCTACGTAGAATGTGAGGGAGAAAGAGAAGGTTCTGGAAGGGCACAATTGACTAGCTCGACTCAAACGCCAAAATTCCGGGCACGTACTAGTCGACTCATTCGACTAAACAAACGAAATTCTGTTCTCGTACTGACTTACAGACGCCTACTACTTGTACGGTACGGGAAGCCGCGTGGATGTTTTCTAGAAATTTTTGGACCTCGCAAAACCTCTAACGCTATTACTAGTACAGTAAATAGAGATGAGGTTTTAGCACCTGTCACAACGCCGCGAAGTGTGGCAGATCCAATGCTGACATGCTGTCATTACAGAAGCACCTTGCGGAATCGGTGTACGTCTAGCCAGTAGAAAGCAATGACAAGGACCGAAACAATTGATGTTCATTGAAAGGAACCGGTGTATGTCTACTAGTAGAAAGCAATGACGGGCTAGTACCTAGAACCATTGGATTATTCGCTGGTGTATGAAAGGAGGAACTGGGCCCGGCTTCTAAAGGAGCAGAGACCATCCAATTTCAATAGAGGAGACAGGTGTTCGTCATTCGTCATGAGCGAAAACAACACCAACAAACGCGGCCACGACGCCAACAATCCACAAGCCAACAAGAAACCCAAGAAGACACTTGATCGGAAATGTGTGACATGCTCAAGCGTCAAATCTCGTGGTGACTATAGCAAGAACCAATGGGAAAGAGGGGTCGAAGGATCCTGCTGCAAGGACTGCATGAACATCCAGAACACTGCCAAGGCGGCTCCAAAGCTCAGATTTTGCTGCCGTGTGTGCAAAGAGAACGCGACCTACCACAGCTACACGAACGATCAAAGGCAGGCTTTTGGAATGCGTGAGAATTCAGAACCAACTTCTGACACGGATCAGGAGGAGGGCCCCATTTGCGTGGGCTGCATCCTCAAAATGCCCCGAGTATGCAAAAAATGCAAAGAAACAAAACCTGTGGATCAATTTTCGAAAACCCAACTGATGAATCTGCCAAGTCGATTTTCCAGCGTCAATATCCATCGAAATTTGACGGTTGCAAGATACAAGTCCATGGATCCAACTTCACTGTGTTTGGCCTGTGAAAAGATCGAAATAGAAGAACATCAAAAGGCAGAGGCGGCCAAAACGGCACAAGTTCGTGCCTATTTGAGAAAGCACAATGTTGTATTTTATGGACTTCATCATTCCTTGGAAGCCAACTGCGGTGCTACGGGCAAACCTGAAAGCCTGGTGGGTACCTACGACATTATTTACCATCATGGCTATGATATTACTCCATTTATTGAAAATCGTACCACCAAAGGAACCTGTAAGTTCTGGCTGAAGACACAGGAGGAGATTGCAGAAGACGACAAGAAGGACAATGAGAAGACAGCTACTGACGACAGCAGCAATGATGGTGATGATGAGAAGTCTTCTGCTAGAGACATTTTGTCAGGTTCGATGGAGTTTGCGAAGGAAATCCAAATTTCAGAACACGGTTGCTATCAGAAAAACTTCACGCTGAGCTCTTCTGATGGTACAGATTTCAAAACCTGTCTTGTCAATGACAAACACCAACGTTTTATTGACTCTGAATGGGAGGGTAGACCAGTCATTTCCGTCCTGACTCAGCTAAAACGCAGAGTTGCTTGTCCGTGGAGAAAGTACGAAATATCTGAGCATAATACTCAAGAGGATGAAATGGTCAAGTTTGAGACCTTGGAAGAAGCGGAGGCTTTGATAGAGAAGTACAAAAGAGGCAATCCGAAGCATTGGCTTGTGAATCGCACTCCTCTCGTTCCAGAAGTGGTTCAGGAAGTAACCCAGTTTCTGAAACCCAAACCGGTGCTATTTTTGGAGCCAGGAGATTTGGTCCTCAGTACAGACTGGGTTTTTGACAGCATGAGGGGACAATGCGACACCATTAGCATCTTGCGTCGTCGCAAAGAAAATTGAAAAGGAGTCATCGTGGAGCCATTGGATTCACTCCTACCGTACCAAGTGCTGCTGCAGCAAAGTGATTCGAGTCTAGGATGCTGAGGCCACTTGAATGTTTATTTTGAGCACTTGATCTCAAAGTATTGAATACATGTTATTGTAATTAGATTAGATTGCATTGTTCTATCTGAAGCGACCATTTTAGCGGGTATCTGGCAGGCATTTTGAAGGATATCTTCATTCGAATTGTTCCAGAGATGTATTGAGCTTGGAGCCATGGCAGCGCTATTGGTACGGTACGATGTAGCTGCTCGAGGAGGACAAATGGCTTTTAACAGAAGCAAGAACCAATCTTTTTGAGACCTCTTGCTTTGTGCTTGTTGGGAACGATGGATCTTGGTCATCTTTGCAGCCTTGTGATGTTCTTGTTCATACTGGTTCACCATGCACAATCGGAAGTTGTTCTGAGGGTTTGCCGAATGGGGCACTGGTTGTGGGTGCCGATGCAGTTCCCAGGACGGTGAGAGGGGGAAAGACGGTTGCGGTAGTCCCATTTTCGTATTGTTGTTTTGCTTTTCGCCGACGCACAATCACTATACCAGCCATCGCAATCACGCCTAGTAGAATGGGAATGGCATAGAGAGGCCTGTAGGCAATCCATGACAAGGCAATAATAGTCGAGGAGAGTCCCAGAGCAACGATGAAACTGGCACAGGCCATGGTGGTTCCCACAAAGTCTCCCAGCGGTGGAAATACATCCGCCAGGGTAGAAATCCAAGAGGATCCCAGGAGAAATCCAAAAAACATGAGAGACATCCCTAGTGACCGAATGATCCATGCCTGTAGAGTGACGCTGGCTTGGGCGTGGCGAAACATTTCGGCGGCCGAGACGCTGCCTTGTTCCACCAACAGGATCGTTCTTTCATTGATAAAGTATTCGGAAAGGGTCTCATCATCTTCTTGCTTGGCAACTATGGAAATTGTCTGGGGTTGTATTTCTGAAAAGGTAATCCGATAATCTCCAATAGAAGGAGAAGAGTACGATGCAGAGTCATAATTTTGATTGCTGGGAATGTAGTAGCCACCCGAAATGACTTGTGCTGTTTCTTTGGCATCCTCCACCTGGATATTATCGACACTCAAAGACGATTCAGAGACTGTAGTAAACCAGTTGATTTTGTCAAGGACACTGGAGGAGAGCGTGTATTGTTGTTGTTGTTCTCCCACAAGAAGCGTGACCGGATCTGCCACATAGTCTTGACTTTGATACTCAAAGTAGCCAGGATTCTCATGGCTACTGGAAGAATGAAACATGCCGGAATCCACGGGATAGTCTCTCCATTCTTGGTAATAGCGATAGGTGGTGTGTCTTGTGGAAGATCCTCCGTGATGTTTCCGTGTATGCGTCTCTTGGTGTTCGACCCATTGGAATTGCTCCACCTGTCGCTGCAGCTTGAGTACATTCGAGGTCGGCACCACTCCAAAGTCTTGATCGACCAGTTGATCTTGTGTCTCCGCAGTGCCACTGGTATGTACCAACATGTCCTCATTGCTGCTGCTGCTGCTGCTGCCATCTAGCTCTACTACCAGCCGACTGGCTTTGGCAAAGGCACGGTGAGACGTGACGGCATTGCCTTCGTTCCAAATCAAGAGAACCACCGACAGCAGGATCAAGAGCGGTCCGAGGCACAAGCCCTTGAGGGAGTTACAGAGGCGTCCACCGTAGGAGCTGTAGGTTGTTTCCGTAAAGGTGTTGCCGTCATCTCCGTCAATCACATAGTCACTGTCATCGCTCATTGTCTCATTGTGGCTCTAGCTACGATAGTAGTAGGAGGAACGGCTTTGGAAGATTTCCGCATCTTCTTCGATTTGATACTAAATAAAAAAATATATATAAAAATATAAAAATATACATGTATAATAAATAATATGGACCACCGTTTCCTTGAAAATAATCAAAAAGCGTGAAACTAACCCAAAAGCTTGAAACTAACCAAACAAGCGTGAAACTAACCAAAAAAGCGTGAAACTAACCAAAAAGCGTGAAACTAACAAAAAGCGTGAAACTAGACTAACCCAAAAGCATGAAACTACTCTAGCTAGCTACTACCACAGTAGAGTGATCTGCACAACATCAAGACCGACCGTTCCGCGGAATATTCTCTTCAGAGCTGGATATCGAATTAGCAGTGTTTTAAGTAGGGGAATTGGTAGAGCACATGTTGCTGAGTACCGGTTCTATCAAGTGCAAACTACAGGCCCTGAGGCTCGGTCTTATGGATCTTGTGGGTGGCACCTCCATTCTGATCTTTGTGACGCATGTGGCACCACATGGTGGAAGATTGACAACCAGTGTGGCTTGTGGCCAGTCTTATGGTAGGGAGGTTGCATCTGCGATCTTTGAAATCGTCTATATAACGTCATATTCCCCTATTCATGAGCTCGGCAGGCGACTGTTAAGAAATTAATCAAGATGGGAGCCCATCTTCCAAAATTATTACCACCCAAATCAGCTTCCAAGATGGGATCCCATCTTGATAATTTAGCTGGGCGCGTGCTACTACGACATTTGGCTCAGAGCTGCGACATATTTTGCGTCACAAAGATTGAACATAGGTCAATTCCCGATCCATAAGACCGAGCCTGATGAGTGTCTCCAAGCACATGCATAAGCACATGATAAGCACTCTATCAACGCTCCTTCTTCGTACCTCTACTCTAGTACCTGGTACATGTACCATAAGGTCATATCAGCTAGCTACTAGAGCTCTACTACTGGCTAGAGGATAGCCTCAAAAACAGCTATCCACTATTGACGAGCCACTGCCTGCATTGCTCAAGGTGTGTGTCAAGTCTTGGCTGTGTGGATAGAGGAAGCAGTGTCGATTCGGTACCGGTAGAGGAAGCAGTGTCCATAGAGGAAGGAAGGAGTGTCGATAGAGGTAGGCAGAGGTGCTTCGAACGATACCGGTAGAGGTACAGAATTAAAGTGCATTTTGCACGGGCGTTTTGGGAAAACACCAATTTACTATACAAAACACAGTACCAGTGATTTAATGGGGTTTGTCCCAGTGTCTTTTGAGTGGAATGACTCTAGAAAGCTTCCGCGCACAAATATGTGGGACTTTAGAGAGTAGTAGAAGAAGCAGATCAGTACTTAAGATGCAAGCTAAACCTGGTTCATTTTCTCAATGGATACTGAAGTTCTATTAATTGTATGAGCAAAATACAGCAAAATACCACGTTGTGCGTTAAGTAAATAAGTCATTTGGGACAATCAATACAGTACAAAGTGGGATAATAGCGGTGGGAGTTGATTTAACACTCAATAAAGCACGGTCCCAATCAAAACCCACTTTAATCTCGGACCTGGTAGTAATAGCTGGATAGGTCGTACGTAGATGTTACTATAGCAATTACTGTACAAATCCCACAATATTACGATGGTCTTAATCTGCAGTAGGTCTTAATGTGCAGATCACTCTAACAAAAAGCGTGAAACAACGTTTGAGTCCCGTTTCAGGATCTTGCCGAGGACAGAGATAGATGAGCCAGAGGATTGATTCAATACAGCGATCAAGCTTGGCGTGTGATGGCGCGTTGAAAGTGTTGGGGAGAGAGGGGGTGGCTCCAAGTTTGGAGAGGAAAGAGTGGGAGGCAGTGGTGATGGCAGTTTGGAAGGGGGGGTGCCAGTCGCTTGAAGAGGGTGGTGGCGGCAATGCTGGTAGGGGCAAGATGATAGTAGACATCGGCGGCGAGTAGATGTTGGATGGATGGGAGAGCACAAGAGTGGAAGAGGAGGCAATTGGTGTGCAGGTCGGTAGAGCTTTCCCAAAGTTTGGAGAGGTTGGTGGTGTACTTGGTGGCTGCCTGGGTGAGGTAGTGATCAGCAAAGGCAAGGGAGTCAATGGGTTGACAAGAAAGCCTGCTTGGGTTTGGATGAAAGAGATAGCATACTTGACGTGTGGGTCGAGTGAGGAGATGCCAGCAGTGCCAGTAAGAAACTTGGTTTTGGAAAAGTTGAGTTGGAGACCAAGGGTTTACCTTCACTTTGAAAGGTGACAAGGAAGGGAACAATGTCTGGGGAAAGGATGAAGGTGTTGGTATCATCAATGTAGGAGGAGACAGTAGCGTGGCATCCAATGCCATCATAACCGGGGTTGCCATTGGTGAGTTGAAGGGTAGCTTTCTGTTGGAGAAGGGTAAGGAGTTTGGCAAGGAGAAGGCACAGGCAAAAAAAGACAGAGGCAGTGGCAGCAAATGGGCAGCCTTGGGCATGTGATTCGATTGAATTCATCATTCATGCACTACGCTAAAAGCTAGTGTAAAGATCTTTCGAGTGTTTTGTGTTTGAGAGAATGAAAGTTATAAGAG